AAGAAGTGAGTTGAGGAGACCGGTCATTCTTCTCCCATTGCTTCAATTTCCTGACATTTGAGAGAAAATGTGAGTCGGAAGAACTTTGAAAAGCAGATCCTTCCTAATTCTTTGCAAAGAAAATGAAAAGTCTCCCAGGAATTCTCTGTATTTCAGTGGCATTTGTGTTTGTGCTTGGGAAGGCTGGAGGAGGACAGCTTGGGATCTAAATCCCATTGTTGCATTTGGTAACCACAGCCACTGTCCAAGGTTTCTAAAATAGCAGGAGGCTGGTGAGTTAAAACTGCCAATAAACCTAAAAGGTGAAAGATGTAAAATGCATCCTTAGGAATTTCTGCTAGTGTGAGCTTACTGAATTTTCTCATGGACATACATCAGAGCAAACCAGCACAGCCAGATATGGAGAATGGCAAAATAATACCTTTAAAATTTAATTTCAAATCACAGCCACTCAGTAATACTTCAGAAGAAGACAAAAGATGTAATTAAATGTATGAATCATGAATCAAGGGGAATAATCTGTTTTACCTGATATTTTGAAAGTACCCAGCAAAAAGCTAAGGAGTTGTAAATAGCTGCAATAACACAAGCATGATATGGTAATCCAGTCTTGGAATTAGACTATACTAGATTACTCCTATTCTTTATTTCCAGAATATTTTAGAACAGATTCCCTCCAAAGCTCTTGAAATAGTAATCCTTCTAACTATTGCTGAGTCCTGAGACACACAAATCTTATATGTCAAACAGCAATTAACCGGAGAAGAGAAGCCAACAATTCCAAGATCCAGTGTCGTGCTCTATTTGCTGGACTGCACTTCCTCCTTCCTAAATTCTTAGTCATAATATTTATAGGAGATTTATTCACATAGCTAGGAAGACCTCAAATATTTCTAAATATATCCACAAGCACGAATGGGAATCATACACTCAGTCAAGTTTGCCAAACAATGCTTTGCCAAAAATTTTTTGACCTAAGAAAGAGGAGGAGGGAATTGAATGTGCAAACCAGAACCTATAAAAGTGCTGGTAGGACAAGCCTGTTCTGCCTCTGTGGAAGGATTAAAGGTAAGAATAGGGGCAGTTGAGTGCTGGCAGAACCCCACAGCATTCCTGCTGCCTGTGGAACTGCTTTCCTCAAAGAACTGTCTGTCTCAATAGGCATGTTTCCTCTCTGTTGAAGTCACTGGCATGTTTTTGCCCTGTGGCTTATTCTTGGGAGTCTGTGCAAAGATAAGAAAGAAGCTGTCACTTCTCTTTTTCAGTATTGGCCAGCTTCCAGGCTTAGAGTCAACTGGTGACACAAGAGGTAAGACTGATTTACTTACTCCATAGGAACAGACTCCAGGTTTGCTTTTTTTTATGCATTTCTAAGGCCACTTCCCATAACCCTTTACATCTGTGCACGCTAAAGCAATGCAATTCTACCTGAGCTGTGTTGTCTAAAAGAGCAAGTTTCCTGTTATAACTGTGTTGGATGCATTTGTTTGGTACTTGCTGGGAAATAATTGACTACTTACACACAGAATTCTTAAAAGGAGATTGACTGTAAACAGAAATCCAGGAAAGAAAAGATGAATGAAGAGCACATGTATAGTTAAGATTTGTCAAAACCCTCCAAATGCTTTTTATTGAGAATTTTCCTTTTTCTATACAAGTTAATATTAAAGGATGAGCTTGAACAGGAAAAGGCGGAACAACTGGAGAAAACAAAACTCTGATTTCTCAACAGAGGAAAAAGGTTTGCATAGACAACTCTGACCTCTGCTTCTGCTTACTCCACATCTGTTCCCTGATGATACTCCATCTCTATAATTGGCACAAATTACATGGGCTGAAATGGGAGACAGAGAAAGAATATAAGTGAGCTTTCATAATTTTGATAAGATGATTTCTCTTGCTATCACTTCTGCTTCTGCTTGGTATTTCTGCTGCATCTTTGATTACCACTGAATCTGCCAATCAATCTATTTTTCTGCATAGACTTTTAAAACACAGTGAGAACTAATGAACTGAAACTTTAAACTGGAAAAAGGGAAAAAACTTTTGACCTCAATCAAACACACCTATCTTCTTTAAGATTAAAACAAACTGAAACACATCTAGGGTCAAAAGCAGGTAAAGCAGAAAGGAAGACAGTAATAACAGGCACAGTGGAACACTACCAAGCCTAAGGCAGCTACTATAAAGAAATGTTCCCCTTCACTCAGAATTGCCTCTCCATTTCAGTGCCGTGCCTTGCTGCACGCAGTAAACCAGAGCCATGTCTTCGGACGCTGAGATGGCCATCTTTGGGGAGGCGGCTCCTTACCTCCGAAAGTCAGAGAAGGAGAGAATTGAGGCCCAGAACAAACCTTTTGATGCCAAGTCATCTGTCTTCGTGGTACATGCAAAGGAGTCCTATGTGAAGAGTACAATCCAGAGCAGAGAACCAGGAAAAATCACTGTCAAGACTGAAGGGGGAGAGGTGGGTAAAATACAAAATTTACAAACAGCAGTTCATTCCCACTCTGACTCTCAGCTGACATGCATGTACCTTCCTGCCCTCTGACAGACCCTGACCGTGAAGGAAGATCAAATCTTCTCCATGAACCCTCCCAAGTATGACAAAATTGAGGACATGGCCATGATGACCCACCTGCACGAACCCGCTGTGCTGTACAACCTCAAAGAGCGTTACGCAGCCTGGATGATCTACGTAAGTGGCAGCAGCAGCTTCCTCTGGGCAGCCTCAGGAGCTGCTGGGCCAGGCTCAGGGGAAGCCAAGGTGCTGTGTCCCTTCCTTGCAGACCTACTCGGGTCTCTTCTGCGTCACTGTCAACCCCTACAAGTGGCTGCCGGTGTACAACCCCGAGGTGGTGTTGGCCTACCGAGGCAAGAAGCGCCAGGAGGCCCCTCCACACATCTTCTCCATCTCTGACAACGCCTATCAGTTCATGCTGACTGGTGAGTGGCTCTCTTCATGGGCATCAGATCACAACTGTTCTGCTTTGTCTTGATAAAACCTGTCATGAAAAATGAAATATAATTATATGTCTTGTTTTGCTTCTGCCTTTTTCATTCCTTTCTTTCTCTGTGCTATTGAGTTCCAAAGTGTTATCCAAGACCAGGATTCCTTTGTCATATGCCTTTAATCTCTCTTTCTCCGCTTCTGTAAAAGTAGTCTGTGCAGCAGAAAGTTAAAACAATTTACTGTATGCAGGAGAAGGAAAAAAATATAGAGTGTTACAGAGAAGCAACATATGGCTCTTCAATGGTTTTCAGTGTCCATGGCGAAGCATTGCAGAATAACAGAATGTTTTTAAAATGCCATGGGCCTTCCCTATGATATTTGGAGGGACATCTCTGAATATCTTTCAAGGAAAGAGTGCAAGTGCAAATTGCTTTGCAAGCAACTGAAGTGGAAAAAAATACTTAGGAGTAAACGAAGAAAAAGAATGCAGGTGTTTTTCTTGTCATAACTTAAATTAATTTTCAGTATTTTTGAGTTCTTAATTTACAAAGTCTACTTGTTTCTGCCTTGTTGACAGATCGGGAGAACCAGTCCATCCTGATCACGTACGTACACCCCCTGCGCGGGTCCCTGCGGGGCTGCCCGGTGCCAGGGCACCTCCTGCCTGACCACGCACCCTCTGCTTCTCTCTTGGCTTTGGCAGCGGAGAATCCGGGGCCGGGAAGACTGTGAACACCAAGCGTGTCATCCAGTACTTTGCAACAATTGCAGCCAGTGGGGACAAGAAGAAGGAGGAGCAGACCTCAGGCAAAATGCAGGTGAGGTCCCAGGGCTAGAAACCTGCAACTGTCCAATTTCTTGATGAACTAGATCATGACAAGAAGACATCGTCCTAGCCAGAGGACTTCTCTGGAGGAACTCAAATCAGATTATTTTGAATAATGGAAATTGTAAGGTCCAGTTTCTCCCAAGATGTGCTGCCGTTACTTTCTATCCCTTTTTGTCTTTAATAATCTTTTGTTTTTTTACTGGGACTGCCCTTTGATATATGTTTTAAAGGAACAGTGCTGTTTACCTTAACAACTGATTGTTTTGATGTTTAGTTGCTGACAAGGCTGCCTACCTGATGGGTCTGAACTCAGCAGACCTGCTCAAGGCCCTCTGCTACCCCCGAGTCAAGGTGGGGAATGAATACGTCACCAAGGGCCAAACTGTGCAGCAGGTAACAACAACCCCCTGTTTTAAGGATAGGTTCTCTGGACTTTCTCTTTTGTCCTGAATGATAATTACACTTTCTGTTTTATATTTCAGGTATACAATTCAGTGGGTGCCCTGGCAAAGGCAGTGTTTGAGAAGATGTTCCTGTGGATGGTTGTTCGCATCAACCAACAGCTGGACACGAAGCAGCCCAGGCAGTACTTCATTGGTGTGCTGGACATTGCTGGCTTTGAGATCTTTGATGTAAGGAACAGAGATTTATTAGCATGTTTGTTAAAACCACATTGCTATGTGACAAAATACTTCAGAAGGAATGCTGCTGGTTTGTTGGTTTTTTTTTTGGCTTTCTTTTTTTGTTTTTTTGTTTTTTTTTTTTGTAAATGGTTCTATCTTTTATAGTGTATCTAAAGCGTTCTGATTCTCGCAGGATTTTAATTTGAAATAGGTTTTTGTTTTGTTCATATGCCAATGAAATCCTTAATTGAAGATTTTTTTTTTTCCTGAAGGCTTAGCACAGGATTTGAAATCAACATTTGTTAATGTTGGATATAGTATTGTGCCATGGATTCTCCTGTAACCAAATTAGCGCAGTCTAGTAGATATCAAAGCTGGTAAAATCTGAGTTATTAAAATTATCTAAGCTTCTAGATTCATAAATATGTGGGTAAAGTTCAGGTTGACAAACACTGACAGAAATTCCAAACTTCTGGATCAAATAAGATGGAGCACTTACAGATACTCCGGTGTTTGTTACAAATAGCCAGCACTGTTCTTTACCCCTAACTTTCTTAATTTACATTCATAATAATCTTCATTTTTAATTGTGCAGTTCAACAGCCTGGAGCAGCTGTGCATCAACTTCACCAATGAGAAACTGCAACAGTTCTTCAACCACCACATGTTCGTGCTGGAGCAGGAGGAGTACAAGAAGGAGGGAATTGAATGGGAGTTCATTGACTTTGGCATGGACCTGGCTGCCTGCATTGAGCTCATTGAGAAGGTAATTCACAATGTCAGGTATTTTCCGAAATGCATTCATTTTATGTATATTTTTAAATGCAGCTGGAACTGGTAGATATGATACTGCAGATACATCAGTTTGTATTATTTTACGATTTGCTGAAACAGAACAATCCCTGAGAGCAGTAATATTATCTCACTCAGGAAGTTATTTCATATCTGAGTCTTTCTGCCCTTTCAACTTGTCCTCCCTCCTTCCTTGTGATTTCTCCCAGCCCATGGGCATCTTCTCCATCCTGGAAGAGGAGTGCATGTTCCCCAAGGCAACTGACACCTCTTTCAAGAACAAGCTCTATGACCAGCACCTGGGCAAGTCCAACAACTTCCAGAAGCCCAAGCCTGCCAAAGGCAAGGCTGAGGCCCACTTCTCCCTGGTGCACTATGCTGGCACAGTGGACTACAACATCACTGGGTGGCTTGACAAGAACAAGGACCCTCTGAATGAAACTGTTGTGGGGTTGTATCAGAAGTCATCCCTGAAGACACTAGCTTTACTCTTTGCCTCTGCTGGAGGAGAGGCAGGTCAGTTCTCTGAAATTCAAATTTCCATGTTTATTTAACATGTTTATTCTGGGTCTACCTGAGCCACGAATATCAGATATTTTTCTTTTCCATGTTCCATTCTTAACATAACAGCTATATATGAAAAACTTGATCTTTAAAAGTTGTAAAACTATTTTTTTTTCCCTTTTATTTTTGGTGTTCTTCAGAGGCTAGTGGTGGTGGTGGTGGTGGCAAGAAGGGAGGCAAGAAGAAGGGTTCTTCTTTCCAGACTGTCTCAGCTCTTTTCAGGGTGAGTACCAAAGTCATTCTCTCCACTTCTTTCCTGGCTTGATTTATTTGTTTATTTTAGGTTGGAGATCATAAAACCTCACTCTAGCTGTGATAAGGCCATTTAACTGCAGCTGTTAACATTTTTATGTATCAAGAATAAGTGTTTGCTTATTCATAAATGAGCTGACAGCAAGTCAGCTGAGGCTAGCTGGGGAAGATATAGATATATTCCCCAGTCTCGTTAAAACACATTGCAAAGTTTTGTGACTTTCTCTCCTGCTGAAGAGTGACAGACAGAAGAAAACTCATATTAAAAATGGCTATAGTTGGGATATTACAAATCTGTCAATATTTTACAAGACTTTTCTCACATCTGAAAGTGTTACTGAGGAGGTACTATTTGTTAATTAAAAACCTTTATTCATGATCCCACAGGAGAATCTGAACAAGCTGATGACCAATCTGCGGAGCACTCACCCCCATTTTGTGCGCTGCATCATTCCCAATGAGTCTAAAACACCTGGTAAGAACCCCAAGCAGAAATAAAAAACAGTGTGATGCAGCCATTATTCTCTATGTTTTATCATGAATTATCAAATAATTGCCTTATTGCTTAGGTGCCATGGAGCACGAGCTGGTGCTGCACCAGCTGCGCTGTAACGGCGTGCTGGAAGGGATCAGGATCTGCAGGAAAGGGTTCCCCAGCAGAATCCTCTATGCTGATTTCAAACAGAGGTCAGATTCCTTTCTGATTTCCATTCTGTCTTTCCTGACGTCTTTCCTGCCAACTATTTTATCGTTTGGGGATATTTTTTAACACTAGCTCTTTCTAGCTATAACTAGAAGAAAAAGAAATGTTGAGGTGTATAAAAAAAGTAACATATATGGCTAGGAAAAGAAAAATTATTGAGAAATGAAGAGTGTCATGTGTCCTCACTGACTGCAGGGGCATCTGAACATGGAAGAACAGTAGAGCTGCAGAAGCCAGTGATTACAAGATTAATAAATGCAGTGTGGGATTAGTAGCAGCAGGTTCTCAGGTAAAAATTACAAACCATGCGTTCCTTGGCCATTGCGTCAGCTGCAAGTTTCAGAGGAAGAGGCTTTTCTCCAATACAGAAGATATAGGAAAGTGGCAATGTTCCTCTCAACAATTTTCTACAGCATAGTTTCAGGAAAAGGATATTATTGAACTCACTGGAAATCAATGTCTTCTTCATCATGGCTAGTCCCCTAAAGACTGGAAAAGTTTCCTTAAATTTTGTTACCAGGTTAAGACTTCATCAGAAGGGTGTCTCTAAACAAGGGATGAAATTCCAACTTCCTCAGCCAGGTTCTGCTGCAAACACTGCTCTTGGTTTCAGTAAACAGAACATTCTTATGACTGGACATTGTCTTCCTCCTATTTCCTCCAATTCCACAGATACAAGGTGCTTAATGCCAGTGCCATCCCTGAGGGACAGTTCATCGATAGCAAGAAGGCTTCTGAGAAGCTCCTTGGGTCAATCGATGTGGACCACACCCAGTACAAATTTGGACACACCAAGGTACCAACCCCCCCATTCACTGCCTGCCTGGGCTTTGCTCTCTCTACCTGACAGTGATGTGCTGCAACATTGCCTCTCTCAAGGTGTTCTTCAAAGCTGGGCTGCTGGGCCTCCTGGAGGAGATGAGGGATGAGAAGCTGGCACAGCTCATCACCCGCACCCAGGCCAGGTGCAGGGGCTTCCTGATGAGGGTGGAGTACCAGAGAATGGTGGAGCGCAGGTACACCTTCCTCTTCTTCAGTTAAAGAGTCACTCTGCTTCGGGGGAAGCGTTGACACTCATCACTGAGAATAATCATTGTGCTTTTTAATTATGCCTCAGGGAATCCATCTTCTGCATCCAGTACAATGTTCGTGCATTCATGAATGTCAAGCACTGGCCATGGATGAAGCTGTTCTTCAAGATCAAGCCCTTGCTGAAGAGTGCAGAGTCTGAGAAGGAGATGGCCAACATGAAGGGAGAGTTTGAGAAAACTAAGGAGGAACTTGCAAAGTCTGAGGCAAAGCGGAAGGAGCTTGAGGAGAAAATGGCCTCTCTAATGCAGGAGAAAAATGACCTGCAGCTCCAAGTGCAATCTGTAAGTATAATTAGTGTATTTCTTCCAGGTACTCTCACGGCACATAATTCTCATGTTACACAATAAATAGTCTGAGAAAATATTCTAATATCTATAATGGAAGGTAGAATTCAGAACACTCAGTGTCACCATTACCATAGGAGGTTCTAGCTTGGGAATGACTTGTGAAGCATGGATGCACATAGGTCTGTTTCTCCAGGCTCACAATATAACATCCAATGTAGTCACTGGAGATTTAAAATTTACAGTTAGCAGAGTCTGTGGAGCAATTAATCCAACAACTTACTCTGACTTCAGTCAGTTGCCCAAAGACCTCTATGCCATTTTATATGATACGTGTTATGTCACCTGTCTTTCTAAAACCACTTTTCCAGGAGGACAAAAAAACCCTCTGCATTCTGTCACAACCCTATATGTACTGCCTAAGTCCATTGGGAGATCATGGGATTGGTCAATATTTAAACATTACCATGTGTCTTTTGATTTTTGCCACACAGATTCAAAATAAAGCCAGATTCAAATTGAAACCTCTGATTGCACCTAGACAATATATCAACTTGTATCACTCAAAGAAATTTAATTCAAAGTCAGTCTTGCCAAGAAAAGCTTATAAAAATATTAAGAAAAAAAATCTCTACCCATTTATATACAGTACTTAACTTTCAGAGAAAGTTATCAAAACACTTGAAAATAAAAGTACTACTGAATATTACCATCTTATCCATAAGAAAAATAGAAGGGAATAATTGATGAGAACAAAAAAATGAAATAGAATAAAAACCTACTCTGATTTAAAAGAGTCTGTGCAAAACAAAACTTCCTAGAAGAAAACAAAAATTAATAATTCCATGTTTCTTTTCCTCAGTGAGAAATAACATTTCTCTATTCAGCTTTTGCAAACAGTTGTGATTAGCAAACAAATCTATGTTTCTCTAATAGGAAGCTGATGCTTTGGCTGATGCTGAGGAAAGGTGTGACCAGCTCATCAAAACCAAAATACAACTGGAAGCCAAAATTAAGGAGGTGACTGAAAGGGCAGAGGATGAAGAAGAAATTAATGCTGAACTGACAGCCAAGAAGAGGAAGCTGGAGGATGAATGTTCAGAGCTGAAGAAAGATATTGATGACCTTGAGCTAACACTGGCCAAGGTGGAGAAGGAAAAACACGCCACTGAAAACAAGGTATGAGGTAGAACCAATCACTCGCACTCCTGAAAATGGGCTGTGCGCTATTGCAGGACTTCTATATTTACTTCCTTTATTTACATTTGCTCCCTTCTTCTCAAAGGTGAAAAACCTGACTGAGGAGATGGCAGCCCTGGATGAGACCATTGCCAAGCTGACAAAAGAGAAGAAAGCCCCCCAAGAGGCCCATCAGCAGACCCTGGATGACCTGCAGGCAGAGGAAGACAAAGTCAATACTCTGACCAAAGCCAAGACCAAGCTGGAACAGCAAGTGGATGATGTAAGCACACAGCCATAGAGCAGGAACAGGACAGGTATCGAGTCCAAGCTGTCTGGCAGAGCCCTGATGGTCTTGTTGTGTTCAGCTGGAAGGGTCCCTGGAGCAAGAGAAGAAACTGCGCATGGACCTGGAGAGAGCAAAGAGGAAACTGGAAGGAGACCTGAAGCTGGCCCAGGACAGCATCATGGATTTGGAGAATGATAAGCAGCAGCTGGATGAGAAACTCAAGAAGTAAGTGTGGCTCTGGGGCACCTGAGTGCTGGGCTGTAGCACTTGTCTCTTTTCTTTGAGATCTAACATGGTTCACTTGGCCCAAAGGAAAGACTTTGAAATCAGCCAGATCCAGAGTAAAACTGAGGATGAACAGCTGAAAACTACCTGGTTTTACATTTCCAAATGTTTGCAGTGTCACCATGAATGGCATTAAAACTGTTGTGTATCTGCACATTTTCTCAGGTGAATATTCACGTCAGGTGGAAGAGAAGGATGCTTTGGTTTCTCAGCTGTCAAGAGGCAAACAGGCCTTCACCCAACAGATTGAGGAACTCAAGAGGCACCTGGAGGAAGAGATAAAGGTGAGAAGACATTTTCCTAAATGTATTAAATCAACAAGATGAAAGGGACAAAAATAACCCCTTAGATATTGGAATACAAGTTTTCCCATAAGGGCACTGCTTCTCTTTCCCTGCAGTCTATCCATTAATTCTTTGCAAATTCACACATCTTTCCCATCAGAGGTCTTTCTAAGATCTTCTCATTAAGGAGATTTCCCAGGATATTTCCCTTCATTTTCCCACTGTTTTTTATTTTGGTTTTTTTTTCCCACCAAGGCCAAGAATGCCCTGGCCCATGCCCTGCAGTCTGCTCGCCACGACTGTGACTTGCTCCGGGAACAATATGAGGAGGAGCAGGAGGCCAAGGGGGAGCTGCAGAGAGCCATGTCTAAGGCCAACAGCGAAGTGGCCCAGTGGAGAACCAAATACGAGACGGACGCGATTCAGCGCACGGAGGAGCTCGAGGAGGCCAAGTACGTTGGAAATGTGGAGAACAGTGGCATATTACAAATGGAAATTTGAGCAGCCTACTGTGACATTGTCAGGAAGAAGTCAGTGTTCTCCTTTGGGTGGGGTCACAAAGAGACAAAATATGACAGAAAGCAGGGACGCATGGAGGAAAAGCCAAAAGGTCCAGAATAGCAGAGAGTGGCCAGCAGAAAAGGAGATGCTGCAGGATTGCTCCAGAATTCAGACATGGAAATAGAGTGGCTGTCTGGGAGAATTCTTACACCTCTCTGTGAATGTGGATCACACAGTACCAAGAGGCTAAGTTTACTCCTATGAAAAACATGCTGCTTCATGCCACAGTCTTACTTACGATTACTGAAGCTGAGGTACATGACCATAATCACTGCTGTCTGCTGTAAATACATGCAGAAATAGGGCTTAAAAGGCCTCGGTTGTCCTCTCTTCTGGCTGGGGAGTGGAGACAGCTGAGATCTCTGGAAATATTTTGCAATTCCCTAGAATGTAAGAAGAACTTTTATTGATGTTATCAATGTATGTGTCCTCTTGTGCAGGCCTCCCTGGAACATGAGGAGGGGAAGATCCTGCGCCTGCAGCTTGAGCTCAACCAAGTGAAGTCTGAGATTGACAGGAAGATAGCAGAGAAAGATGAGGAGATTGACCAGCTGAAGAGGAACCACCTCAGAATTGTGGACTCCATGCAGAGCACCCTGGATGCTGAGATCAGGAGCAGGAATGAAGCCCTGAGGCTGAAGAAGAAGATGGAGGGAGACCTGAATGAAATGGAGATCCAACTGAGCCATGCCAATCGTGTGGCTGCAGAGGCACAGAAGAACCTGAGAAACACACAAGGAGTGCTAAAGGTTCATTCAGCACACCAACAGAAAGAGAAAAAAATGAGACCCATGATATTTTTGCCACTCAAACGACTGACACCTGCTAATTTCTTTTCTCTTTCTTTCCAGGACACCCAGATCCATCTGGATGATGCTCTGAGGACACAGGATGACCTGAAGGAGCAGGTGGCCATGGTGGAGCGCAGAGCAAACCTGCTGCAGGCTGAAGTTGAGGAGCTCCGGGCAGCCCTGGAGCAGACGGAGCGGTCGAGGAAAGTGGCTGAGCAGGAGCTCCTGGATGCAAGTGAGAGAGTTCAGCTCCTCCATAGTCAGGTCAGTTAATAAACATAGTTAGTATTTATACTATTGCTCCATATGTGTAAGTGAATTTAAGACTGGCAGAGCTGTATCAGTATTTTGTTAAATGCAGGGGGATGTAAATAAGAAGTAATAGGTGACAGGTATTATTAAGACTTCTGTTTCAGATGTAGATAGACTATGAATTCCAGTAGACTGCAGTATAGATACCTTAATAAATGCAGAGAAGATGGTGAGGTTCTTATTCTGTTATTTGAGTTCAACATCTTTCACATTTCCATTTGAGACTTTAAAGGCAAATGTAGGCTGACCATGCCATGAACAAAATAGGACCACACTAACTCTGTCATTAATGCAATTTAACAATGTCAATATAAGTATGTTATAGAACCATCTCAAACTTTTATGATCACTAGAGTGAAAATGTTAAGGAAAGCATTTTTTTTTAATTTTTCAGTCTAGATTCCTTCTTTGTTGTCTTTGAGAAAAAAAATTTTTTTTCTCAAAGACAACAAAGAGAAAAATTTTTGAAAAAAAAATTCATAACGGATGCTCATGAAATACCAAAGCACCTGAGAAATTAATAGCTACAACAGTAGTTCTCTTATAATCCAATGTGACCTGAAGGCACAATCTATATTAAAAAACCACTTATGCTGTAGTTGATAAATCCTACAAGAGACAAGCTGAGGAGGCTGTAAGTACCAGTTTCTCCAAACCAGACCTTCTTCTGGTGTAGGTGAAATTCTCTATTCATGTTTTCCTCTGTACAGCTTTTTGAAACCTTGTCTGTTTTGGCGCAACATGATGATATTTTGATACAACAGGGAATGTAGAATAAGACTTGATGAGTTTGTGACGAAATGTACTTCCCCAACTCTTTGTGTTTTGCTGTAAACCTCCTTTCCCACTCTATTTCTTAGCTTATACCTTGCCCTCATTGTCAGAAGTAGCTGTCAGTCTGTATATTCAGGACTATGACAAAAACTCTGCCTAGCACACACTGTGTATGTCTTTTTGACATCCCAGTATTCTTTTCTCTTCTGACACACACAACACCCTGAGCAGCTTCTCATCTTGGTTTTGTATCTGCAAATGCCCAGCTGTGGCATTTGAATTTTTGTTTGCCCAGTTTTCTGGTAATAAACACCCGCTGCCTGTTTTTTTCCCACCTCCCTCTGCTCTCACAGGAGGAGCTGTCCAATGTCAACCTCTCCAAGTTCCGCAAGATCCAGCACGAGCTGGAGGAAGCCGAGGAGCGGGCTGACATTGCAGAGTCTCAGGTCAACAAGCTCCGAGCCAAGAGCCGGGAGATTCATAAGAAGATAGAAGAAGAGGAATGAGGCTCCCAAGACTAAAAAGTGACCCGAGGGTTGCATAAAATGTAAAACCTCTGTGTTGCTTTCTTGAGTAATTATCATTTATGTCTAGGTAATAAAAACAGTAGAGACCCTTGCATACGAACAGCGACTATGATGTTTTATTTATTTATTTATTCCAGTATCATTACTTTAAAAGTACATGTATACAGTTCATCTTCACATTCAAAAGTATATCAAACAGCAAAGCATTTTTACATTTGCATTTTTTAAAATGCATGAAGAATGGTAATAATTATATGGATTTTTTATTCCTCTTGCAATGATAAGTATGCATTTCTTTGATAGACTAGGATTACACTCTTTCAAGTGATTTTCTTCGTCTTAGGAAAAAGAAAATAATAGGAGTAAAGAGTCCTGAAGCATTTAGCATACACACACACACACACATATATATATATGTATAAAACTATATATATATTTTTTATTAATTGAAAAATATTGGTTAAGATTAAAAGTATGGGAAACTCAAATTTCATTCCAAGTAGTGACAAGCAGCCAAACCAACACGGTGAGGAAGTGGCATCAAGAGACAACCCCACTCCCTTTCTCTGAAGTAATTCCATTTCATGTATAGCACAAAATTATATCCATTCATGTTGTCGTAACATTGCAGAAGTTCTATACTGCTTTCTCATGGGCAGCTCCTCTGAGCACTGGTTCCAATTCCTCACCAAGTAGCCAACTGACTCCAGTTCCTTCTCAACCAGCCAACGCACTCTTTTATAGCACTCTTCTTATTGTTTACAGCTGTGGCCTGTTAAAGTCAGTCCTGTTCCTAATCTTTGTTAATTGGCCCAGCTGCAACTCGTTAGGGGTAAGATTACTTTATGCACTGTCTTTATTTTCTTATATTCTATCCCCCCACATATTCACATACAGGATGAGTGAGAAGAATCCACATTTAAAAGATTGTGGAAGAAGGAATAGTTAAGACTGAGGACTCTATTTATAATTTCAGCGAAACCTTCCACTGCCTTTCTAGATTCAATCCTTCTGCTCTGTCCACAACCTAACTGTTCTGTTTATTATCATTCTCAACACACTGTGCCTGCTCATTTTCCTAAGAACTGATTGTTAGCCCACAATATTGTATTTTGCATTAAGCTGAACTAGACAGTCAGCATTTATATGTTGGTTGGAAATGTAAGGTAAAGCACATTGGTTGGAAAAGATCTCTAAATACTGATCACACTTTACAGATGGGTAAGTAAATTAGATGGTTTGGGAACACATTCAATATGTCTAAGGGCCTGGCAAATTAGAAGCAAAGCTGGATAGGTTCTCCTGCTGCTGATAAACTTGTTTTTGCCAGACACAGAGTAGGATACTGAGATGGTTGGTATTTTGTGTCAAGCTTTAGCAGCTCTCTCAAACTTGCTGTTTATTTAAAGCAAGTCCTAAGCATCTTTGGGCATCCCACCAGAAATGTCAGTCCCTAGCTGACCTTCATATGTCCCTTTTGGATATCCTTTCCAATCCTTCAGCCAGTCTACAAGTGCAGTAAAAACACTGCTTTAATATTATAAACATTCCTAATTAAATATGAAAATAACGTTTGAGCAGGAGATGACAGCTGGAACTGGGGGGGGACACTACTCCATCCATTGTAGAAATGATAGTTTAGGAGCCATTACAGCTGAGCATCTCTGGGATTTTTGGTGCTCCCCTAAACTCTTTGGGCCCTTGCTGCACATTCTGTATGAGCAGGACCTGTCTTCCCTGTGACTCTGGTGATGTCAAACACAGCCCAGCTGCATGGCCCATCACAGGACCTGTCAGTGTGCTTCTAAGTGCCCTGCTCTTCTAAGGGCTCATCAGAAACCTCCGCTAACGCATCTCTGTTTTTGTA